TAACTTAGTTATAGATTGCAATATATAAAAAAAAGTAATAGATCTCTTAGCAATCAAACACGGCAATCATAAAATTATGCATAGAAAAATATTAAATAATGAAAATATAAATTAAACATTGAAAATAGGTGGATCTCACAGTTATAATATTTTCTAAAGTTTTGGTATCCTTCAATCAATCGCCAGAGTTAGTTACATATGATAGATCTAAGAAAAATAGAGAGAAAATATGTTGGAGGCGTTCTGGTGTGTTTTTCATGTGTTCTAGGGTTGATAAATATGAAAAGAACTTGTTTCCATAAGTAGTGGAACGGAACTAGGAAACCAGAAAATCGCGTCAACAGTTACTACCATGAAATCGCAAGGATATAAACCATGCAATTGCATGGTTTTGCAGTTTCTAGCCTCTCAATTCTTGGTANCCAGAAAATCGCGTCAACAGTTACTGCCATTTGATTGCAAGGTTATAAACCAAGCAATCGCTTGGTTATGCAGTTTCTACCCTCCCAATTCTTGGTAAAAGAGTGGGCAACTACATGGTATTTGTGCCATGCGATCGCATGGCTTTTTCATTTTTTCTGCTGACAGATTTTAGTATTTTGGCCATAATTTTCTCTACCGGTGTCCAGTTGAGGTGATTCAAGATGTGTTTGAAATCCAACCCAAAGGGCTACAACTATGATTCAAAAACTATCTTTGAATTAGATCGTTTTCGATGTCCAAAATTGGTTTCAATATCAGGCTGAAAACCGATGCAAAACTTTTGAGCTTGAAAGTTGATATGTGATAATATCTTGATTATATTTCATCCCTTTGACTTCTTTTTTAATCCAATTGGCCTCTAACACTCTTAAGTCTTCATTGTGAGGTTTGATACAACTTTTGAATATTTGCATTTTGGTTCCCGAACTTTCGCTTTCTTTCATTTTAGTCTTTTTCCCTTATTTCTTTCAAATTATGCCATATTTATCGAATTGCCACCTAAACCAAAATATGAGATTACTAAGTACATTTAAGTATAAAATA